AGCCAGTTGGAGAGGGAAGGCATTGCTAGGACAGTCCTCTGCCAGCGCCACCAGAGCAGCGGGAGGCGATGGCTGTTCCATCGAGTTTCGCTATAGTTTGATATCCATGAAATCCAGCAGCACAAGTGCTTTGAGCTTAGAGCAGAACTGCAGAGCCTACTAGAGCATACCACATTTACTAGACTGTAGAAGGAAAGCAGAATATTGACTTAGTGATATTACTACTTTACAGTTATTTTAATACTTGGGATTCAGTAATAATCATTTCAAGTGTTGGAGTAGAGGGTGCCAGGGTTTTTTAGGGTTTTAATCCAAACCAATGCCAGCAGGACGTGGCGCTTGGCCGGGATGCCCAGGAAAGGCTCTGCCCGGAATGTTCCTGCTCTCCTGAGCAGCTTTGGCCCAATCCACATTTCACTCTCAGTGCCTGAGAGAAAAGTAATTCCCTGTGCAGCGTGCTCAGAACAGCACAGGAGTTGTCTTTAAGGAGAAAGAGTGCATTTATGATAAATGTTACACTATTTGGCTCAAACTGAGCAAATGTTTTTGTACTATTATTAACCTAAAAAATAAAAAGTTCAGCCTGCTTTGGGTGCCCTTCTAACTTAACCCCAACGAGCAAATTGTACGTGAGAGAACTCTTTTTAGATAACGTTTATACAATGTTTTAAACTTGCTATCCCAGTGGTAGCAGCTTCACATTCCATGGTTTTCCTGTTGGGAATGTTCAGCCTGCTATGAACTTGTCTGAAACTCGTCCTGGTCGGCTGGGGGATATTTTTGTGGACACTGTGCACTACATTTGACTGTTGTGTTCCATCTGCTTGTGAATCCCTGAGGAGGAGCCTGGCAGCCCCTGGCTCCGTTAGATCAAAGCTTTTGAAAGCTGGAACTCACAAATTTCCAGTGTTTCAGGATGGGTCTTGCCAACAGCATTTGGAACATGCCACAGAATGGTAGATTTTAGGGTATTTTGCAAAGTCTGTGGCTCCACTTGAGCCATCAGAACGATGCACTTGTGGGTGGGAGGGTGGATGTGACAGAGCTACAGGCGATGTGTTTCCAGTAATTAATTAATCACTTTTAAGGGTCTTTCTCCTACAGCAGTTGAGGAATAATGTTGTGTTAGAGTTTGAGGCATTGTGTTGTATTTCAGATGTGGAAAACCTAAATTATGACCTAGTATCACTTAATCCTGTTCACAGTAGATCGATGGTGCAATCTGAAATTAATCTTTTCAAAACGTACTCTTCATTTTTGTACTCTATTTATTTTGATTAAAGTCCTGGAAAGAAAAAAAAATGTATGTTTGAATGTATTGTTCTACTTGTAGCAGAACTTTAAGTTAATCATTTATTATATCATAGAAATCTCTCCCTCCAGTGTCAAGAGTTTTATACAGATATTAGTCTCTAGTTTGCAGAAGAGTTTACAATCTGTCTCTATTTTCCTCATAGTCTCCCTTTAGCAGATAAACTGCCTGCAGCAAATCTCCATTGCCAAAGGGTTCTTTAACTCCTTAGAACCAACTTGTAGAGGTTTATTTGGCAATAATAGTCCTGAAATTAGGATTGCAGAGTAAATACTAACAAGTCACCACTGCTAAAAAATGAAATCGAATCCTTTTGTGATTGCCACAAAATGCTCATATTTCCAGAAAATATCTGGGATTTCTACTGCAATATGGATTTTCCATCAGCTGTTGTCCATTCCAGAAGGATGTACCCTCGTGGCATTAATGTATTTTAGGTATCTTTGGTTTTCTTGTATTGTCATTTTTGAGGTATCTCAAACGTATGTTAAAGCTGCCATGCATTGTATTACTAAATTGTAACTATCAAATAGATAATATATTTAATACAGCCAATAAATAATACAAATGTATTCAAATTTGACTCCGAGCTCCTGTGGTTTTATGGGATTTAGTGTCACTTGTGTCTTGTGTAATTTAAGGGAAGGGAACATGCTCAGTGTCATTAAGAGCTGAATTAACTTTGGACCCTTGGAATATCACTTCCATTCCTCCTCACACTGCAGGAAGGACCTGCAGTTTCCAGGTGAGGTAGAACAGTTCTGTGATACTGGAAATTGAATTGTTTGGGGCTGATTGCCAATTTTCCATTATTTTGTGTTGACTCAGGGCTTTTCCCCCTTGAGCTCTTCTCCAGCATTTGCTGCTGATTGTGGAATTTTGTCTGACAGGGCCTTAATGATCTGATGAAGATAAGATGGGAAAGGCTTTATTTGAGCATCATTCCCAAAGAGACAGCTGGACACTCAGCCTGGGTAAACTCCCCACTTGAGGAACGATCAGGGGTGAGGAGCTGGAAAATGTGGAGGAGGCAAGGGGAGTGGGGGCCAGCGTGAGGGAATCCCAGGGAAAGGCTCTGGGGAGCTGGAAGCACAGGGCCAGAGGGAGCAGGGACACCCAGCAGCAGGATGTGTCCTCACAGTCCTCAGAATTCCTCCAGAACCTGGGAATGGGGCTCTAGCAGAAATGAGAGAGGGATCAGCTACAAAACAAAACTCTTCCTCCTTGGAGCTTGGCTCTTTGCAGCTCTTCTGCTCCCAAGCACTGCTCAAATGCCAGTTTTGTGGAGCCAAATAGTGTGGGATTAGTGCTGGAAAGGTCAGAGCTGAGCACAGGCGCTGCATTGTCCAGCAAATCCCAGATCTGACGTTAGGGAGATTCCTGCTGCCCTTTCCAAGAGGCAGAAGCTCTGGCTGGGGTTGTTCTTGCAGATTTGGACACCTCCCAACAAGTAAAGCTGTGCTTGTGCCTGGGCTCTGCATGGCTGCACCCTGAACACCTCAACAAATCCTGTCTGGGAAGAAATTCCCAGTGAAATTTCATAGAGTGATGGAATGGGTTGGGTTGGGAGCAACCTTAAAGCTCATCTTGTTCCCCTCCCAGCCAGACAGAGACACCTTCCCCGATCCCAGGTTGCTCCAAGCCCCATCCACCCTGGCCTTGAACACTTCCAAGGATTTCAAATGTATGGGATGTAACTCCTGCCCCCTGAGCAGAGCCAGGTGCCCAGGCTGTGCTCTGGTTTCTCAGCAGATGATCCCAGCTGGCTGCAGCTGCCCGGGATGAACGACCCACGGCAGAGGAGGCGCCGGCGCCGGGCCAGGACACACCGTGACCCCATTTCCTGTTTTCCAGCCCTGAAAACAGCCCCAGAGCCTGAGCAGAGGGGAAGGGTGGCTGCTCTTCATTGGGCCAGCGTGTGGTGCCCATGGAATGTGTCATTGTGTGTTTATCCTGCAGAAAAGGAGGCTCAGGAGGGACCCTGTGGCTCTGCACAGCTCCTGACAGGAGGGGGACAGCCATGAGAGGAAATGGCCTCAAGCTGTGCCAGGGGAGGGTCAGGTTGGACATCAGCAGGAATTTCTTAATGGAAAAGGTTGTTAAACATCAGAACTGCCCCAGGAGGTGGTGGAGTCCCCATCCCTGGAGGTGGCACTCAGTGCTCTGGGCTGGTGACAAGGTGAGGACCGGGCACACCTTGGACTTGATGGTCATGGAGGGCTTTTCCAGCCCCATGATTCCCAGCGTGGCTGTGCCCCACAGAGTGTCCATGGGGAGAAGCATCCATGGCCTGGAAGGTGTTTGTGGCCTGGGGACAGGTGGCTGTCCTGGGGGAACTGCCTCTCCCTGCCTTCTCCTGCTGCTTTCCCCGCAGAAATCCTGCAAGGAGCTCCTGGTTGTGCTTCCCAGCATGGAAAGTCACCTGTGGTGAGGGGAGAAGGTGGCACAGAGGGGGCAGAAGAGTCCTGCACTGGGTTTAAAGATAAATCCCAAGCTCCACAGAAGTGCAAACCATAATTTTCTTTCCTGCCTCCGGAATAAGCAGTGTGGCAGCCTCCAGCTCTATGTGCTGAGCTCCAGCCTGATCCCAGCCTGTGGAAGAGCTGCTCTCCCCCCCTCTTTCCTAAAACGAGGAAAGAAAAGTGGATTTAGTTTGTTGTCGAAGGTCAGTGTCTGGAATTCCTCCTCCCTCCCCCCTCCCAGGATGTTTTTGTGTAACACACTCTGACTCATGGAAGTCAAATGACTTGGCTTGGGAGCTGCCTCAGCACAGGATTCTGGCACAGGCATCCCGTGCCTGCCCCTCGTGCTGGGTGAGGGTTCTCCAGTTCCTCCAGGGCTGCTGGAGCTGTGGGGCTGCTCTTGCTCCCCCAGGCTGGTCCCAAACCCCGGGCAGGGCTGGGATGTGTCTCTGATCCAGGTGCTGAATGCCTGGGTGTGCATGGGGAGCACCAGAGCTGCTGCTGGAATGTTCCGCTGGGTGGATCAGAGGGACCAGCTCTTGGTTTGTCCTCTTGATTTGTCCCAGTCTCTGATAAGCTGGGATGGGAGTCCCTAGCACATCCTCCAGACCTGGCTGCAGTCCAAACATCCCGGTTATAACACATTGCAACTGCTTCTGCAACACTGCTGATCGCCTGACCAACAAAATCACAACAAAACTTTATTTTTGGTTCTGTTTTGCCCTCAGAAAGTGAGAAACTTTGACAAAACTCATATGGAATGTGCTCTAAGTGGCTTCCTAATCTAGTCAGCTGCTATGAAAACCAGCTTTAAAAAGCTTTTAAATTTGCTTCCTAAGTAGAATCTGTTATTTTCAGAACAGTGGGTACACACTGTCATTTTGAGTTAATCCTGGGATTGCTGGCACTTTAAAAAGTGACTTCAGAGCTATTAATGAAATAACAAAACATCCTCTCCTGCATCACCACAGGGCAGATGGGAGGCACTGGGCTGTCTGCAGCAGGGGAAGTGGGAAAACAGTCACTTGAATCCAGCAGATTTGGTCTGTGCATGTTTGTCCTCATGAATATTTATAGAAAAGTGAATATCTGACCTCCAAGGGCGCATTTCCACGGCAACCCCGCTAGGCCTCGTCTCCATAGCAACGCCGCTAGGCCGCGTCTCCATGGCAACCCCGCTAGGCCGCGTCTCCCTAGCAACGCCGCCCTCCCGGCCGCCGTAGCCGCGCCCCTCGTGTCACATGACCGGAAACGATGGAGGCGGCCAAGATGGCGTCTCCCAAGAGCGCCCCTAAAGACGCGCAGGTACCGCGGGGCCCGGGGGGATCCGGGCGGCACTGGGGACCATCGCGGGCTCGGGGGGCTGAGCGGTGCCTGTGTCCCCCCCGCAGGTGATGGCGCAGATCCTCAAGGACATGGGCATCACCGAGTACGAGCCGCGCGTCATCAACCAGATGCTGGAGTTCGCCTACAGTAAGCGGGGCCGGGCGGGAAGTGAGCAGGGAAGCGCTGTGTGGGCCAGGGAAGCGCTGTGTGGGCCAGGGAAGCGCTGTGTGGGCCAGGGAAGTGTTGTGTGGGTCAGGGAAGTGTTGTGTGCGGCAGGGAGTGCTCTGTGAGTCCGTGTTTCCGCGAGGGCTCCCCTGTCAGACCCGGTGACTGCAGAGATCTTTTCCAGCTGTAATTCTGTGACTCTTTAATCACAGAATCACAAACCCAGCATGGTTTGGGCAGGGGCACCTTCCTCTGTCCCAGGGTGCTCCAAGCCGTGCCCAGCCTGGCCTTGGACACTTCCAGGGATGCCGGGGCAGCCACAGCTGCTCTGGGCCCCTGTGCCAGGGAAGAATTCCTCCCGTTATCCCATCAGCGCTGCCTCGGGCGCTCTGAGCAGTACCCGCAGAGGTTCCAGTGCCATCCCCAGGATGGGGCTGGGGAGCATTCATGAATCTCAGAGCCCGTTTCCCCCAGGATACGTCACCACCATCCTGGAGGACGCCAAGATCTACTCGAGCCACGCCAAGAAGTCGAGCGTGGACGCGGACGACGTGCGGCTGGCGATCCAGTGCCGCACCGACCAGTCCTTCACATCGCCCCCGCCCCGCGACGTGAGCGCCGCTGCCGGGGGCGGGGACACGGGGACGGCATGGAGGGACATGGGGATGGCACAGGGGGACACGGGGACGGCATGGAGGGACACGGGGACGGCACAGGGGGACACGAGGACAGCACGGGGACAAGGGGCTCAGCAGGGATACCAGGGTGGCACGGGGACACAAGGAAGGAGACCAGGACATGAGAATGAGGCCAGAACATTGGGATGTCACTGGGACATGGGAATGTTGCAGGGCCACGGGGATCTGACCAGACACAGGGATGTGGCTGGGACACAGGGATGTCACCAGGACACAGGGGTTTCTCAAGGAAATGAGGATGTCACTGGGACACTGAGATGAAGCTGAGACACTGGGATGAGGCCAGGACATGGGGCTGTTAGGGGACACAGGGATAAGGCTGGGACACACTAATGTGACCAGGACACAGGGGTATCACCAGGACATGAGGATGGGGCTGGGACACGGGGATGTCATCAGGACATGGGGATGTCAGTGAGACACTGGGATCTGTCCAGGACATGGCGATGAGATCAGGACACAGGGATATCACTGGGACACAGGGATGTGGCAGGGACACAGGGATCTGACCGGACACAGGGATGTCACTGAAACACGGGGATGTGACCAGACACAGGGATACAAGTGGGACACAGGGATGTGGCCAGGACACAGGGATGAGGCTGGGACATAGGGTTGTCACTGGGGAACTGGGATGTCACCAGGACATGGGGATGTCAGTGAGACCCAGGGATGTGGCCAGAACATGGGGATGTGTCCAGGACATGGGGATGAGGCTGGGATTTTGGGATCTGACTGGACACAGGGATGTCACCGAGACACAGCGGTGTCAGTGAGACACGGGGATGTCACCAGGACACGGGGATGTCAGTGGGACACAGGAGTGTGACCAGACACGGAGATGTGGCTGGGACACTGGGGTATCACCAGGACACAGGGATGTCACCAGGACTTGAGGATGTAGGTGGGACGCTAGAATATCACCAGACATGGGGATGAGGCAGGGACACAGGGATGTGACCAGACACAGGGATGTCAGTGGGACACAGGGATGCCAGTGGGGCACAGGGGTGTCACCAGGACACAGGGCTGTGCCCAGACCCGGGGCTGAGGCCGTGTCTCTGCAGTTCCTGCTGGACATTGCCCGCCAGAAGAACCAGACGCCGCTGCCGCTGATCAAGCCGTACTCGGGCCCGCGGCTGCCGCCCGACAGGTACTGCCTGACTGCCCCCAACTACCGCCTGAAATCCCTGCAGAAGAAGGTGAGGATGGCTCAGGGACTGGGGATGCACCCCTGGGGGGGGTGGGAGTGGTGTTAAATTGCAGTTTTCCACAGCTCTGAAAGGTGGGGGTGAATATTGGCCTGTGCATGTCAGCTCGGAGGTCTCCGTGCTGGATTTGTAATTTGTTGTTGGTTGATTTTAAATGGAAATTTTGAAATGTGGGAAACTTTAAAATGTGGGAAAATTTAAAGTATGGCAGTATGGTAGTGTTAAAGAAATACTGCAGAATCCCAGAATCATTGAGGCTGGAAAAGCTCTCCAGGATCATCAAATCCAGCCTGTGCCAGAGCACTGAGTGCCACATCCAGTCATTCCCTGGGCACCTCCAGGGATGGAGGCTCCAGCACCTCCCTGGGCAGCCCCTTCCAATGCCTGCCCACCCTTTCCCTGAAGAAATTCCTCCTCATGTCCAGGAGGAACTGTCAGGTTTAATGTCAGGTTGTCAGAGGCACAAGTCAGGCTTTGGTGTAGATATTAAAGAGTATTTTTGACATCCACCTCAGTTGTTTCTGCTTTGGAAGGAAAATATTTCCTTTGCTGGGAAGCCCTGAATGCCTCACTGTGGGGGGACTTTCCTGTTTGTTCCAGGCCATTCTCTCATTCCCTGTTTCTCCCCCCACAGGTCTCCTCCACAGCAGGCAGGATCACAGTCCCTCGCCTGAGCGTGGGCGCCGTGAGCAGCAGGCCCAGCACTCCCACTCTGGGTAGGGAACAGTTCCACAGGGGACTCCCACCTTCCTTTTAGGAAGGAAAAATAAAGAGGAATAATTTAAAACACTTTTCAGCCTCTGAGGGAATGTCAGGGACTGCCTGACCTTATATTGTTTGACAGCATCAGAAAGTTAATTTCATAAATTGATCTTTATTATTACAATAATATTTAAGTGTAAATGCATTACAGATGTTCTGTGTTTGTGATAATTTCTTTATTTAAGGGACTGTTCAAGAACTTCACTAAAATTTGGGGTTATTTTTCTCAGTGTCAGTATGATGCTGAATTAAATAGCACTGGGGAAATATCCATTTTTAAAAGGATCTTAAAATTTTGAGCTGTGCCCTAAAAGTTAGTGTGTGTTTATGATCTGGATTTCTGTAGGGTTGGAGTAAATGTAGGAAAATGAGCAAATGTGCAGCTCTGCCTAGAAATCTGATCCTTAAATGTGGTGTGCTTGTGTTCCTGTGCATTCCCACTGTGTCTAATAACAGATTCCATTTGGGAGGGAGTTGTAGGAGTGTTCCTGGATTTATTTTGATTTGTTTTGGCGGTTTGTGTGGAACCCAGGTACCCCCTCAGCCCAGACTGTGTCGGTGTCAGCCAAGGTGGGCGCGCCAGTGTCGCTGGCGGGGCAGCGCTTCACGGTCCAGATCCCGTCCTCACAGCCTGCTGGGAAATCAGGTACTGCTGGGGTTCCTGGGGCTGGAACAGGGATAACCACACAGCCACAGCCTGCTTGGGCTGCCAGGGAGAAGCTCATCCATCCCACCCCCTGCCATGGGCAGAGACACCTTCCATGCTGGCCTGGAACACTTCCAGGGATGGGGCAGCCACGGCTGCTCTGGCCAAGCTGATGTGGGAATTTCTCCCCCTGTCCCTCATTGCAGGAACTTCCAGTGTTAATTCCCATTCCCAGCACAGCAGTGGCAGGCAGAACATCCCCATCCTGGGCAGCTCCTCCCACCCTGGCTTCTGTTTCCTTCTCCCCTTGTGTCCTCACCCGTCTCTCCAACATTTCCCCATCGTCCCTCTTGGGATGAGCCTGGAATAACTCAGGGATTGCTCCAAGCTTTCGGTGACCCCTTTCCATGATTCCCACAGCCACTCCCACCACTCCCACGGTGCAGAACGTCCTGATCAACCCCTCCCTGATCGGCCCCAAGAACATCCTGATCACCACCAACATGGTCCCGCCCGGCGCCGCAGACCCCAACCCGCTCAAGAGGAAGCACGAGGAGGACGACGACTACGACGCCTTGTGAGGGCCCTCAGCCCTTCCCTGGGATCCAGGGAGCCTTTCCATGGGATTCATGGAGCTTTTCCTGGGGGATTCATGGAGCCCTTCCATGGGATTCATGGAGCTTTTTCTGTGGGATTCATGGAGCCCTTCCATGGGATTCATGGAGCTTTTTCTGTGGGATTCAGGGAGCCCTTCCATGGGTTTCATGGAGCTTTTCCTGGGGAATTCATGGAGCCCTTCCATGGGATTCATGGAGCTTTTCCTGGGGGAATCATGGAGCTTTTCCTGTGGGATTCAGGGAGCCCTTCCATGGGATTCATGGAGCTTTTCCTGGGGGATTCATGGAGCCCTTCCATGGGATTCATGGAGCTTTTTCTGTGGGATTCAGGGAGCCCTTCCATGGGATTCACAGAGCTCATCCCATGGGATTCATGGAGCTTTTCCTGGGGAATTCAGGGACCCCATCCCATGGGATTCAGGGAGCCCTTCCCATGGGATTCACACAGACTCCAGGGGGTGGGAATGGGCAGGAAGGCCCCGTTTGGGCCTTGGGAGTGTAGAAATAAAGTGCAGAGTGTTTGTAACCTGGTCTTGGTGTCTTGTGCACGCCTAGGGGAGGGGGCAGGGGCTTTTATATATATTTTTCTATATGTTTTCCATATTTTTAATGTACTTTTATATTACTTTATATACACACACACATATATATATATTGTTTATATATATACATATATATATGTGTGTTTCACATATATGTGTATATATGTTATATATTTATCATATACACACACATGTAATTGCCTTGTACACTCAAAACTCTCCCAGACACTTTTTAATATATATACATTTGTCTATCCACATACATAGATATTTATATATTAATGTATATATGTATGTGTGCACACATACATAAAATATATAGAATATAGTGTAGAGCGAATACAGAGTAGTTAATTATGCATACAAACACTTCATATATAAATTGTATTTCATGAATTAAGTACACATTCTAAAATAAATGACATAATCCTGTGCTATATAATGTAAAACATATATATTTTATATAATAATATATAATATTGTTATACAAAATATATTATATATATATAATATATAATATTATTACATAATATTATTGGGACAATCTTCTGTTAGGGCTAAGCCCTCAGAACTTCCAAGTTCATTTAAATCACTTGGAAATATTTTACAGCTCTCAGGGCATTCATAGACTTGGAAAGCAGAAAGTAAGGGGGATTTTGGGAAGGAATTTTTCCCTGTGATAGTAAAGCCCCAGCAGAGAATGTCCAGAGAAGCTGGGTCTGTCCCATTCCTGGAAGTGTCCAAGGCCAGTTTGGACAGGGCTTGGAGCAGCCTGGGATGGTGGAAGTGGATGATCCTTAAGGCTTCTTCCAACCCAAACCATCCTGGGAGTCTGTAAGTTGGCAGAGCATCATCCAACAGGTAAATGAAGAGGAAACTGCTGCCCAAATCCCACATCCCTGTACATGTCTCAGGGAAGGGCTGGGTCATACCCATTGGCAAAAGAGGAAAAATAAATTTAACTAAATTTACATTTATCACCTTCTCTTCCTGCTGACACTCATAACTTGGGCTGAGGGCATGGAAAAGCAGCAAGAACTTGTTTGGGGTGTCTGGATAAAAGACCTGAGCAGGTCCCAGTGACAGCAACTCCTGGACTCGTTTTAAAACCAAATGTAAGTGCAGAGAGCCCAGGGGACGCTGGGGGGTGTTGTGCACAATAATTCCAAGTCAGGTTTATTTAGTAACTCCTTTATTGAAATCACAACCCAGAGTTAAAATTCCTACATTATTCACATACGTCAGGTTTCTAAGTTCATTGAATAAACACAGTCCAGCAGCTAAAGGGGCCAGAAAAACCAGCAGCTCTGAACTGCTCAGGCTAAGACTTCAGCCAGGGCCTTCCCACTCCATGGCTCCCCCAGGGCAGCTGCACAAGTTCCTTCAGGCTCATGGGAAGAGGCAGGAGCAGAGCTCCAATGCAGAGACAAAGCTCTCTCAGGATTGCAGGTGAAACCGTACCCAGCGTTCACAGCTCAGCAGGAGGGAGGGAGCTGGGAACACCCACCTGCAAAATCACCTCCATTCACTCCAGGAATTTCAGAGGAAAAATTCTTAACCCCCACCTGGCCCCAACACACAAATATTTACAGAGACATAACAAAGAAAGAAGTTTGGCTCCCTTGCTGAGGGCAGGAGCTGCTGCTCCAGCAGGAGAATCCAACTCCCTCAAAAATCACCAGGAATGTGGCCTAAAGGGATGGGAAAAGCTCCAGGACAGGTAAACTACTCCTTGATGGGGGTGCAGCCTGAGAAGAAGCTGATGTTGCTGCTCAGCATCCTCTTCTTCCTCCTCCCAAAGGGGTTCTGGTTCTCCTGGGACTCCTCATCCCTCCCGAGCAGGGAGGCAGCAGTGCTGGGAATCTTCAGGAGCACCTCCTGCTCTGTGAGGTCCTGCAGGACCTGGGGGAAAGCAAGGGACAATCTTTGGAGTTAGTCACAGCTGGGGTGACCCACCAGAGGCAGCAGGACACCAAGTGCCAGGCCAAATTCAAGAGTTGCTTTTTTTACTCAAGTCAGGAAAAAGACAAAATTTTTGTCAAAATACCAAGATGCAGGAGGAAGAGACAGCAGCTGGAATAGTGGGCTCCCATGGGATAAGGGAATTTGTTTAGCTGAGGTGAAATGAGATGTGCCAGGTCAGAGAGGTCACTTTGAACGTGGACAGACAGGATTTTATCCTGCAAGCTCCTCACTTCCCCTCTCTCCTTGCTGAAGGTGCTGCAGGAAAACGTGGCAAGCTCATGGCATCATTTCAGTGTGGGAACTGAGGAATTCAGCACACTCTCAGCTTCCACACGAGCTGCCTGGAGCTGTGCAGAGTTTTCCAGCAGCAGCTTCTCCTCTGGGGTGATTTTCCTCCAAGACCCTCACTCAGCAGCTCTGCTCTGCCCTGGGAATACCTTGTTGGTTGGAGTGACACACACGGGCTGGAAGAAGGTCTCTTCTGCTTTCACCTCCGTGGGGTCTTCCAGCTTCAAGGACCCCTCCGAGTCCCTTTTGTGCTCCTCACATGTTGTGGTCTCCTGAGGGGCAGCAGAGGGTGAAGCTCTTACAGAACATCCATCCCTTCCCTTCCCTTCCCACCACAGCCCCCTGCTCTCCAGCTGGGAAGTTTTCCACAGCACAGGATGCTGCAGCTCAGACTAGGCACTCACTAATAATTAGAGCACTATGGGATGTCCCTGCTCCACATCTCAAAATTCCCACTAGGAACATCAGTTTCTCATGGACCTTCCTGCTGCTACAACCCCCTCCCCCAAACCATCCCTTCCATTCTTAAAAAGAAATCTGGGAATGAGTCAGGGTTTGGTGTTGTCTGAAGCCAAAGACAAAACTTTAATTTATTTAGTCAAAAAGGAAAATGGAAACTTTTTATCCTTAGATTTGAGGAAGAGAAGTGGGAACACGAAAATCTTTGCTGTGAATCTCCAAAATTCTGTCCTGATAGGCAGAGTCTGGTCCTGCAGTGGAAAATTTTCCTCAGTTACCAGAGAGGCACTAATTAGTGACATTTGACAGAGTTTCAGCAAAGTGCACTTGCTCTGCCTGGACAAACTATGCTTGTGTGGGAATTATCCCTTCCTCCAGCTTTGCCCCTGCCCACACGCAGCCCCTGTGCCCCCCAGAGGCAGCAGCACTCACCAGGCCCCGCTCCCTGTTCCTGCACGTGGCTGCGGCGCAGCTGCAGCCGTCGGTGCATCCCAACTTCTGCCTCCTGCAGCCACACTGCCTGTTCCCACAGCGGCCCTTGCACGAGCACTGTCAGGGAGGGAAGGGGGATCCAATGGCCAGGATGCTCCTGGAATGCTCCAGGTCCTGCCAGCTGTGGCATCTCAAGGACAGGGACACTCCCAAGTTGCCCCTTGTCACATTTCGCTACATCCCAGAATAATTTTCCTCCTAATATCCAGAATAAAATCCTTCTACCTGCAGATCCATCTTCAGGATCTACAGGAGAAGTACCTTCAGTTACCTGACTTGAGGTTATGCCAGTGGATCCCAGTTTCTGGGCCACACTTCCACAAAAAGAGGGAGTCCCCACCCCAAAAGCCTCAGGAATTTTCTGAGCCACAGGCTGAAGCTCCAGACTGACACAGACAGATGGAAGCTGAGGCTCTGTCAGGACTGCAAGCTGCAGGTTCCCAAAGGAAACAGGGATCCACAACAGGCCATCCTTTTTTTTTTGGGTTTTCTTTTCCCTAAAATTGGCTCCCTGGATGGATCTGGCTGCTGTTGGGGCTGTTCCTAAAGCAGAGGCCAGCTCAGACACAGGCAGCAGGACAGAACATGGGAGAAGGTGATTTGAACAGGGAAAACCTGTCCAGAAAGGTCTTTCTGACTGCAGACAACCTTTGCTGTGTCTGTGGCAATGTCCCAAATATCCCCAGGCACCCAAATAACCCATTCCTGCCACTTAGAGAGCAGTGGGGACACCACAGCTCCATGCCCAAACCTTGCCCACACCAAGTGCTTCCCTAAAAGACACTGGATCAAGGGTAGCTGGATCTTACCCCCATGAGGTTTTTCCTGGTTCCTCTGCCTGCTTTCCCAGGAAGCCAGTCAGAATCCTCCAGCTCCCCAGGGTCAGAGAGCAGATCCTCCACATCCACCTCAGGGCTGGGCGCTCGGGGCTTGGCCGTTGTCTGCCGGCGGCACTTGGGCTGCAACACAGGAGCACCAGGGGTTAGGCCACCAAAACCCAGCTCTATTTCATGAATAATATTAATAACGATTACAGTTTAATATTGCTTTGTTAGGGTTTTCGAGGCCCTCATGGACAAGAAGGTTGTGGAGTGAGGGAGGGAAAAAAAGATCTAATCATCAGGATTGAAAATTCAATCAATTTAAACTATTGATGACAAATCGTTGGAAGTCTGAGTTATTGACACATCACATGACAAAAAACAAGTGTCACACTCCTGCCCAAAGAGTTTTTAATAATTTCTTCCTCCCAGCACTAAGATTTGGCTCCATGCAAAGCAGCAAAGTTGGCTGTGAAACAAATGCCTTGCTCCATAATTTAAAGACTGGGAATGCTACAGAAAAACAATCT